AGGTTGTAAAATTAAAATCTCCTCTTCTCTTATTATTCTTGGGAGATTACTCAGGTTTGAGACTCCGTGGTCGATTTAGAGCGCGTTGAACAAACTCGAGGATCTCGAACGTTATCTCGAGATAGACAAAGATTTCGTAACAAGATGTTTTTTACTACGCGCAATCGGATAAATGTGACTAATGTTAATTTCGTCAGTTTTTCGTGTATCTATCCACAGTGGAAAAATTGAAAGGCGAGAGAAGAAAATTTATAAAAGAAAGAAAAAGAAAAAAAAAGAACGATCTTGGAACGAAACACATTCTAAGACGCCAATCAGAGACGAATCCCTCAATTTCTCCTCGACTCCGGAATGGACGAGTCACGAGCACTCGTCGGGACGGAGTTATCGGCCTAATCGGAGATGCTGGGCCCATTGTCGAAGAAGATAAGCAGAGGCAAAAGACTTCGACGCCTGTCCGTCCCTCCATGCCCCGGATGACCACCCAAGATCTAACGCCTATTCGTGAATGACAAATGCGCCCTCGAGGTGCATCGAGGTCGCTGTGGGAACAGCTCCCGAGATAATGGCCGGAGATCCTCTATCGCTAGACCAGTTTTCTGGCATTCTTAATACGGGTGACACGAGAACGGGGGAAGGGTTAATTTTTACACACAGGATTAATAATAATAAAATAAAATAAGTAAAATATATATATATAAAAATATATAAATAAGTAAATTATATACATATAATAAGTAAAATAATATAAATAATATAAAATAAAATAAAATAAAATAATATATCACGCGTAAAAAATTCTTCTATCGCGATAAAATTGAAAATTGTTTTCCAATTTAAACAAACGTTATTGCAAAATCGTATCTGCAATATCAAACAATCGTTTATAAAGCGAACAATCAGCGACGAACGATGGAATCAAAATATACGTATATACACACATATATTATATATATACAAACATTCGATTCTTCGAAACAAAATCCAATGTATATAAACAGTGTAATCCTCGAACGTACGCCATTCACCATCGAAGATTACTTGATTTCAGTAGTAAGAAATCGTCCACCGAGGAAAGCACTTCGCTCTATCTGGTTGAATGATGAAACTCGCGTAGATAGCGAGTTATAGAGAGAGGCGTAGATAAGGAGAGTCAGATAAGGGGGAGATCGCGCGAGGAAGAGATCCTTTCCGTGGACACAAAAGGGAAGAAAGAGAACGAAGAAGGGGAGAGGAGAGTGCTGGTACCACGCCCACACGCGACGCTGACAGAAAGAAAAAGATCGTGTCGCGATCGTGGACGTGGTTCGCACCAGGCCGGCTGACTGATCCTCTCAGCGGCGCGTCTTTCAATACTCGCGCGGTGGAGGACCAACGCTGATTGTCGTCGTCGACGTCGTTGTCGTCGTGAGACGCGCTTCGCTCCTGAGTCTTTTGTCGCCAAATCGGCGGGACGACGACATCTACGTCTCCCGCGGCGACCGATTACACCTCGTTCAACAATCCAACGATTGTTGCAGGATTTTCTTCCAAGATTAAGAGAAAGATTAAGAGGAAATCGAAGCGATATTGTGGAGTCTGATTTCTTCGACCAACATGAATGATATATTGGGAGGAAAAGCGACAAGTGTGTATTTCAAGAGACAGAAGCGGAATGGAAATTATTATATAAATATTGAGTGTTTAAAATTGGAATATCAGTGATCGGGAATAGATAAATTTGGAGGAAACTAGTAGCGCAATAATTGTTGTGTTTCAGAAGTATCGAGTATTTTATTTATTTATTTTTTTGGTTCCGTGAAATTTGGTCTTCACGGGGATTATTCTTCGAGGAAAAAATGTAGATTTCGATTCAAAAATTCGAAAGTTACTCCGAGAAAAACGGGATTGCAAATTATTTTAAATAAATATTGAGTGTTTAAAATTGGAATATTAGTTGCCGGCAATAGAGATTCTCTTTCACTATAAACTTGAAGGAAACTAGTAGCGCGTTATATTTCAGGGGAAGTATCGAATATTTTATTTATTTTTTTAGTGGTTGAAATTTGATTTTCACGGGGATTATTCTTCGAGGAAAAAATGTAGATTTCGATTCAAAAATTCGAAAGTTACTCCGAGAAAAACGAAATTGCAAATTATTATAAATAAATATATTGAGTGTTTAAAATTGGAATATTAGTGGCCGAGAATAGAGATTCTCTTTCGCTATAAACTTGAAGGAAACTAATAGCGCAATAGTCGTTGTATTTCAGGAGAAGTATCGAATATTTTATTTATTTTTTTGATAGTTGAAATTTAATTTTCACGGGGATTATTCTTCGAGAAAAAAATGTAGATTTCGATTCAAAAAAAGTTACCCCGAGAAAAACGGGATTGCAAATTATTATAAATAAATATATTGAGTGTTTAAAATTGGAATATTAGTTGCCGGTAATAGAGATTCTCTTTCGCTATAAACTTGAAAGAAACTAGTAGCGCAATAGTCGTTGTATTTCAAGGAAAGTATCGAGTATTTTATTTATTTTTTTGGTGATTGAAATTTGATTTTCACGGGGATTATTCTTCGAGGGAAAAATGTAGATTTCGGTTTAAAAATTCGAAAAAAACGGGATTGCAAATTGCACCACCGTTCTATGGCGAAAGACGCAAGGCTAAGGTCGGGACCCTTTCTCGTTTCTCTCTTTGCCGAGCGTAATGCAAATCGACGAGCGGCGAAACGTCGAAACTCGCGTCACCTCGCTGACGAACGACGCGTCGCGGCGCTGCCTGAACTCTCCACCCGTGAAATCAGGCTGCGCTGACGTGTTACAAGACAGAGCCACGCAGAGGGCAAACGTACCACTTAACACCGGACCGTCGTCGGGCTCTCGAGTCACGCCGATTATCTCGACGATCGACTCGCGCGGAATTCGATCGATTGAACGAGTCGGCGTGATGCGATGAATGAATGCGAAAATGAATCGAAAATAACGGAGCAAGGAAAATTCTTTAACCTTTTTCTTATGGGCATTGCCAAGACCTCGAAGATCCGTAACGCTCGAAGGGAAAAAATCATGCGCAGATCGATCGAGTATGGACAGGAAAATTCACTGGCATCGGTCCATGCTTCCGTAATACGAGCCACAATTTTTAATTTCTTCATAAGTTTATATAAGTTTCTAATATTTTATAAAAATATCGACGGTGAATCGGTATTGCGACGAAAGTGTATTCGTAGTTGAAGAATTTTCAAAGAAAAATGAAAGATCGTCGTGGAACGTTTTCGATTTATATCTTCACGAGGATGCTCGATTTTACCGTTCTTGACTGAAGACAGTTCGTCTATAAAAATGGCGGGAAATGGCGGTTGGAAATAGGAAATCGAAATGAAGGGAATTTTTTCGTAGGCGAGAATGAGCGGAGGCACGAGTCGATTTTTCGAGATTCTCGTGGCGCGCGTTCCCTTTTTCAGGCCGAACGAATTCTGAAGCGGCGACCGGGTTATATTTAGCCCGGCTGAGGTCGAAAAACGAACTCATCGTGACTCTCTCGAAGCCGCTCTCGGTTGGGAAACACGGTTATCGTTTCTCGAGCGAGCGAGCGAGCAAGGAGAGGAGAGAAAAACTGTCTGGTGCCCGCCATTGAAAATAATTCAGAGGCGTTCGTTGGATTCTCTGGAAATATCTACGAGACAATGAACGCTCGTCGCTTATTCTTCTGCTTATTCGCGACATGTAAAAAGCAGGAGCGAATTCGAATTCGAAGGGACGAGACAATTTGACGAGGACAGATACGAGGGGGAGCTAAAATGGAATTTCGTTAAATTTTTCGTCGTGGTGTTCATTCGTGGTGGGACTTCTTTAGCCAGGAATCTCCGAAAATATCTCCTAATCCGTCTAGAGTAATGACTAGCGTGCGAGAAACAGGGAAATTTTTATGATAATTTACGTTTAAATTGATGGATAAGCGGTTTTAATAGTTGAAATGTGAAGTTTACAAGACGTGGAAACTTTTTAACATCGCGCAAGAATTTTCGTCGATCGACGACGAATTTGAAACACGATTTTAAAACTGTTACAAATGATCTTCGTTTCTTTATCCAAAAATATTCATCCCCCGTTATTATACATATATATACCATAAATACTTTAACAAAAATGTAACGACATTTCTCTTTTAAATACATCGAATCGTTTATCCATTTACACTAAACTAAAATATTAAAACTATATTAAAACCAAACTATACATTAAAACTATTAACCGAAAACCAGAGCCAGCTTAAAAAAAGCTCACGCCGAATCTGCGTGGTACTCGGCTCGCGAAATCCAATCCGGTGTTTCAGGAATCACGAAACAGGGGCTTTATGGCGGGCAAAAATCTCCGTCCTTCCTCCCATTCCTCCCGATCCCAGCCCAAGTCGTCGTAGGAAGGACGCCGATTTCTCGCTGCATCGCTCGATTTGCCCGAATGCATCCGGCCCGGCGAAGACGTGCCTCGCGTCTCTGAGACGTCTCGAAACTCGAGCACCGGTAACGCGCGTGTTCGCACGTACGGTCCCACCTGATCCCCTAATAGGATTTATGCGGCCGACCAGCCTCTGTTACCTCTCTCTCTCTCTGAGAGAGAGAAAGAGAGAGAGAGAGAGGGAGAGGGAGAGGGAGAGAGAGAAAGAGGTTCCACGACAAGGACGCGTTGCAATGCCGCGTTAATTTCGACTAGTCGGCGTGGAAAAACGTGGGGACGGAGGGAGGGGAGGAGGTGGCGATACTCCCGATTCGGCGAGGAGTCGAGGGCGGGCAAGAAAAAGATGGAGGTGGACGAGACGGGGGAGGGGGAGAGGAATAAGGAATGCGATCCGCGAGAGCGTGAAACCGCGGGAATGGCTGTCAGAAAAATCGTAAAGAAGGATCTGGCCGCGGCGGAATCTGCACACCGTCCGCACAACATCGTCGAAAAGGCAAAAAACTGAAACGTTCGTGGAACACGAATTCTTTTTTTGGAAGAAAATCGCGCGAAACACCTCCTTTGTCCTCCTCTCTCTCTCTCTCTCTCTCTCTCTCCAGGAGCTGCGGCACGAAAGGCGATAAAGTGTCCGCTCGGTACGAATACGAGGGGGAGAGGTTTCCCGCTCAAGCAGGCGGCTCACGTACCCTCTCGCGGTTCTTTCGCGATCGTATATCTAACGGGTTGAATCGAGCAAAAATCCTCGGCAAATAGTTTTCTTCGCACCTCCTTCAACCCATCCCTCTCCTCTCCTCTCCTCCTCCTCGTTACGCCACGCTTTATCCTCCCTCCCCCGGTTTATCGGAAAGACCGGTCAGGATGCCAAGAATCTTCGCGCCTCGGCGACTGGAGCCGCATACTCTGAGCGTATGCGGCCCTCGTGCGAGCGAGGAGAGTCACACATCTTGAAGGCGTAAACGCGACGAGGGGGAAGAGGAAGAAGTGGAAGAAGGAGAAGAAGAAAGAGAAGAGGAAGGTTCTTCCTCTGACCTGTTACACCCGCTTTCTAGTTTCCGCGCGATCGGAAGGCGGATCGAAGCTACGACGACTACGAGAATTCATGTCCACTGGGCTTCGTTCCGCTCTCTGGAAGCGTCTTCTTTTTTCTCCCTCTTCCTCTCTCTCTCTCTCTTTCTCAGGGCCCGCTCTCTAGCCGGAGCGAGCGCTGCTTCTCTTATTTGGCTGTCCTCTCGGTCGAACCGAGCGGATCGAAGGACGAAACGACCGAGACGATCCTCTTTCGGGGCGAAGAGAGGAAGAGAGAGAGAGGGAGAGCAAGCAGAGATACATAAAGGTTGAGAGGATGAGAGAGGCACCGATTCTCTCCCGCTCGCTCACCCTCCTCGCCCTCTTCCTTTCATGAGAGCCGGCCCGTTAATCCTCCACGGATCCCGCCAGGATCCCACGGAGATGCACCGAGGGAATTTGCATACAAGATCTTCTGCCATCTCCCCCTCCCCCTTCGACTCCCTCGCCTTCTTCTCCTCCCTTCGACTCTTCTCCTCTTGGACAGCTCCTCCTTTTCCCATCTCGTTCGCTCCACCGTGTTGGCCCTCTTCCGCTATTCCCGCTTCGAATCCCTTTCTGTTTCATCTCTTCTTTCTCCTCCCACCGATCGGCCAACGGAGCCTCGTCGTCCCTCCGAATAAGACTCGCGGATAACTTTGTATACACGCCGCTCTCCGTCTCCGACCGGTCAAAAAGGGACTCTGGGGGAACAATGGACGGGGGGCCCTCGGATTCGAAGCCGACCTTGGGCACTGGATTCGTTCCGTTCGTTTGTTTTCGAGGTTTGGAAAGGTTCGAAGAAGTGTCTTCGAACAATCGTGTGGAAATCGAAATTTTCGTGTTTTATTATTACAAGTCGTGCATCGAAATCACAGTATCGCGCACGGAAGAAATAAGTTTTTAAAAAACTCAAATAATCACGAATATCCCAGCGCGTAGTAATATCGCAAC